CCTTCCCAGGAGGCCTCGCTGTGGGGGAGGATCCACGTTTCAAGGAGCGAGTTCCAGGCGGCTTGGGCTGCCCTCTGGGCCTCCGGGCCTTCTCCCGGGGTCCTGAGGGAGACCTGGGCTCTGGCGCGCTCTCAGCAAAGAAGCTGGAGCGCCAGGGACCCCAGGGGACTAGCAGTGGGCAGGAGCTGGTGTCACAGGAAGTCGTGGGGCGGGGCTTGGATTCGGAGCTGTGTGGACTGGAGAGGAGGGATGCACAAAGACCTAATGCAGGGAGGTCGCCCTGGCCCTAGGTGCCCAGCGCGAGGAGGGGCTGAATTCCAGAGCCAGGGCGTCTGTTTCCTGTGTTGTTGCTGCCGCCACCTGCTGGGAAAAGGAAATTGTGCGCAGGCAGCAGCTAACTCCAGGAGAGCTGGTCATGCAGTGACAGTTGTGCCTGGCTACTGGGTCTGCACTCATCAGGGGCTGAGGCTGGCTAGGCAGCCCACTGACTGCTGCAATACTGGGCAGCAGCATCTTCCCGCAAGAGATGAGCAACCTACACCCCTAACCCCCGCCCCTCCCCACCACAGAGTGCCCAATGGCTAGGCACTGGCAGGACAGGCCACAGCCCTTGGACAGGTGTACTGGGCTACCTGCGGGCACTGGAAGGTCCTAAGGTCCCTGCGGGCCCGAGTCCCTCTTAGAAGGGCAGCCTGTTGCTCTCCGAACCCCATAATAGGGCATTTCCAGTGTATTCAGCTATGGGGGCCCAGGCCCCACTGAGCAGCTGTCCTGGGAGCGCCCTCTCTTACTCACCTGCTAGGCTGTGAGGCTTTCTGTGACTCACCAGCTACTGAGAAGTGCCCTTCCTTGCAATTACTGAGCCCAGAAGAACAGGTTTCTGTCACCTACTATAAGCTGCTTGTGGATCCTGGGGCGCCCCATCGACTGCTGGATGTGAGCCCTCAAGGGGAGGTGGATGACTATCTTTTCCCTTGTGCCTTGTACTTCCAATGACTGATAGAAGATGTCCTACAGAAATAAACGTGTAAAATGCAAAGTGTTAATTATCTGGGAAGGGGTCATTCATTATAACATTTAGATTAATAAACAAGGAAACTTTACAACTCAGTAAAATAAACCACCTCTATACTCTTGTCAGAAAAAAAAAAAAAAGATAAGAAAAGAAAGAAAAAACAAACAGGAAAAAGGCTAATGCAGTCTCTTGAGGGTACCAGCCTTGTGTTGTTCCCCTTGGAACAAGAAGGAACATGCACTTTCTTGATGTCACTGTGCAATGGCACGGGGATCCTTCCTCACAGTGTTGAGAACATCAAGGTCAGGTCTGTTCTGGTGGTACCCGTGTGCACATTCCTGGTGTCCATCATTATCCAGGTTCTGCACCCAGACTCTGCATTTCTGCTTTGTTTCAGCCTGGCGATACAAAGAGGTTGCGAAGCCAAGTTTCCTCAAAAATTCTGAGTGTGAGAATGTTCCCAGGTAATTGCAACTTTTTTTCTCTTATTCTGGGAGCTGCCTCTTCCTATTGTTGGTCACTCCCTTAGAAGCAAAAGGAGATGACTTCCTGACCATCCAGTCTGTCTTCTCTCATTTCTGCTTTCAGCAGTGTTTTCAAGACACCGTTGCCACATCCATGGACAGCAAGATGTAGGCCTACATTTGTCTCTCAAATGCTGTACGTGTGGTTTTCATGAGGAGATCCTTGATGCATTTTAAGTGAATTTTTGCATAGGCTCCACCAAATAACAGCTTTGCAAATATAAGCGTTCTTGGTGCTTGTCTCTAGCAGATCGGCTATACTGCAAGTTCTTCCAATTCTTCTCTGCCCTTCTCTTCAGACCACCCTGGCCTCCAGACAACTGGACACACTTCTGATGCTGCCCTATGCCACCAAAAACTGACATGTCCTTTGGGCTCCACCTGGGGGCTAAGGGATCCGAGCACAACAGCATGGTGACTCCACATAAGGGACTGCTATATCTTGCTCCAAGGGACCTGAACAAGGAAACAGTATCCACAAGGGCCTGCATTACCCTTTGCAGAGTGTCCCTCAGGTGAAGTCCACACAGTTGAGCAACTAGGCCCCGCCCCACGACTTCCTGTGAGAGCAATTCCTGGCTGCTGCTAGTCAGCTCTGGGCCCCCTGCTCTGCAGGTTCTATGGTGAGGGAACGCCAGTGCCCAGGTCTCCCTCAGGGCCCTAGGAGAAGGCAAGGAGGCCCAGATGGCAGTCCAAGGATCTTCCAACTCCCTGCCTGCCCGATCTGCCCAACAGCAAGGCCTCCTGGGAAGGAGGCATGAATGGAGCTGGGTGTCTTGAAACTGTTTCCGCACGATGGCAGTAGAGCTGCAGACATGGCCACCAGCCCTCTTCCTGGGCGCTCTTCTCCCGCCCTTCCTGTCTGAAAAAACGCTGCCCAGAGAAAAAGGCTAAGGAAACCTGGCTTCCTTGTCTTTTGCCCTCAGAGAAGGAACAAGCTATCCAGTCTGCCTTTTTTTTTTTTTTTTTTGGTACCAGGCATTGAATTCAGGGGCATTTAAGCACTGAGCAACATCCACATCCCTATTTTGTAATTTATTTAGAGACAGGCTCCCACTGATGTGCTTAGTCCCTCAACTTGCCCTTGCTGAGGCTGGCTTTCAACTGGAAATCCTCCTGTCTCAACCTGTGGAGCCACCGCTAGGATACCAAGTTGCCTTTTTATTTGGGGATTTGGATTAGGATCTTCAAAAACTTTTTCATTTCTTAATTTTGAGACCGGAGTTTCTATGTTGGCCAGACTGGCCTCCAACTTGAAGCCTTCCTACCTTGGTCTCCAGCACGGGACTGCTTTCAGGTTTCATCAGAAATCACACTGGGGCCTGAATCTACTCCTCCTTCCTGGGGACACCTGTCCTGGTGGAACTTCATTTCCATAGGATCTGGTCCACTGGAGTGTGGCTCAGTGTTACAGGCTCTGCAGATCACAAACAGCAAACAGCCATCAGAGGAAAA